ACGACAATGACAGCGACAGCGACAGTGACAATGATGACGACGACAATGATGACAATGACAATAACAATAACAATGGAGCCATAGTTCCCCACCCCTGTCTTAAACAATCACACACGCGCCACCATTACTATCCTCACATTGCTTTCAATGTGAAAAGTTCAATCAGGAAACTCTTTAATCGATCAGGCAACTTTTTAAAAATGAGTGTTGGTTGCCTTGTTCCCAGAGACAAGGAGATAAGTCATGGTTCACTTACTGAATGAGATACATGCACACAACATCACTAAGCCAAAGGCTGGGGGCTTGGAGTAAACCAATTGCATGAACAGCTTTCTTTTTCCAGTGTACATTGGTTACTTTTTCCTAATGAGATTCAGGCTAGATCTGAAACGTCAAGGTAAAGATGACATCTTCCTTGAGTTGAGCTCAACCACCCATGATTAGAAGTACACATTCTTTTGTTGGGAAAATACAGAAGGTTTTGCCATTGTGTCCTTCTGGAGTGTTTCTTTCACTTTCCCAATCTAGCCTACAACCCTGGTTATTTCCCAGCCATAGTCTAATTAGGGCAGTGTTTCTCAACCTTGGCAACTTTAAGATAATGTGGTTTTCAGAATTCCCAGAATTCCCCAGCCAACATGCTAAACTAGGAGCTCCAATCCTGATAGAAGTTTTAAGATCAGCCGAGGTTAGTTAGATCTACTAGAAGGTACAATATGGCTCCTTTTGCTAATCAGGATCAGAGACTGGCAACAATTCTGCTTATATGTGGTTCTTTTATGACTGGAGTAGATTCTATTTTAAACAGTCAGAAACTTTGTCGTCAAATATCAATTTCTGATATATGAGAGTCATGTATGGCTTTCCCTGCCTCATGTGTGTATGACCAGGGGCTTGAAACCATACATCAGAATTTCTCATCCTTGGAACTTGAAGACATGGACTTCAACTCCCAGAATTCCGCAGCTAGCGTGGAAGTCTGGGAGTGGAAGTCCACACATCTTCAGGTTAAATTAACTTTCATCTCTAGTAAATGTATTTAATTTTCATTAAGTCATTCAATTTTGTTCATTTGATTTTATGTTGACTCTTAATGACTATTTACAAAGTCTTTAAAAGAACCCTGAGAAAGCTTAGGGTTGGAGTTAGGGTCAGGGTTAGGGTTAGGGTTGGGGTTGGGGTTGGAACTGGGGTTGGGGTTAGGGTTGGGGTTGGGGTTGGGTTGGTGAGGTTGGGGTTGGGGTTGGGGTTGGGGTTAGGGTTGGGGTTAGGGTGGGATTTGACATAGATGGTAAAGGATAGGGTTAAGGTTAGGGATAGGGTTAGGG